GGGCCATAAAGCACTGAGGCTGGGCTCCTGCGCCACTTCACCCGGGGAGAAGGCGACCCGCTGGGCGCAGCACACCAAGGCAGTTGCTCAGAGGCTCCCTGACGGGATGAAGGGGAAACCAGGCTGGGGGTTTTTTGCCTGTGGCTTCAGGCTTCCCTTGACTTGGTTGGAGGGGGCAGGGGGCTCTCCTCCCCAGGCCCTCCTTAGGTCAACAGCTGGGGCCTCCCAGGGGCTGCTTGAATCCTGGGGCGGGGGCGGCTTCGACAGCAAGCAGGGAACTGAACTGATTGGCAGCCCCCAACCATTGAGGGAGGACCAAGCGGGGGAGGGGGGGAGAGGAGTGGGCCTCGACTGGCCAGGAGAGACCTGGTGGAACCGGAGCTTAGTGGAAACAGTGGCCTAGTGTGTGTGCGGCTGTGGCAAAGAGACAACACGGCCAGCACCACACTGTGCTTTTATACCGTGCGTGGGGTGTGGGGCGCCCTTAGAAGGTTGCAGGCGGTTCTACTCCCCCCAGCTGGAGAAATGAAGGCAGGCAACCCAGGAGCAGCCGGCTCTTGAGGCCCAGGAGGCACTTGGCGCTTAGGCAGAGGCCGAGAACAGGACCCTGGCAACTTCTGGAGAAGGGGAACCGTGTGCGTGTGTGTGTGGCGGGGGGGATAGCAAAGACAGGGGGGAGGTGGGTGAGGCTGATCTGTGGAAGATGCCTTTGAAATGGCTTTCCAGTGGGTCTGGGTGACGCCAGGGCCCTCCAGGGTTCCCGGTAGCAGCTGCTGGCTGCTCGGGCGCATCCCCTTCCCCTCTGCTGATCCCATTTGACCAAGGGGACTGGGAATTTCTGGGGCGGTTTCTTCCTTGAGGCCTTTGAGGTCCCCTGGCTGGGAGCGGCCACACTCTCTGCCCATCTCTGCTTCACCAGTGGAGCCGGGGAGCACCTCAAACCCCCTTCTCTGGACTCCGCAGGCAGAACCCAGGCTGAGGGCTGCAGGCTACAAATGGGGACAGGAGCAGGAGGGGACCTGATGAGGACGGGGGGCAGAGCCTTGCCTTCCAGCTCCAGGAGCTCCCCTTTCCTGCCTTGACCGAAGCACGGCTGGGCAGAGGGGAGATGGCCAACGGGAGCACATTCAAGGAGGACTCCAGAAGAGGCCAGCAACCAAGACCAACGAGGAAGCATTTAGCCTGCAGGGGAAAGGACTGGCGGCCTCTGAAGTTCCGTTGCCCAGAGGCCAGAAGCCACGGAGTCAAGACTGCAGGGAAGAACGTTGAAGCTAAACCTCGGGAGGAACAGAGGAAGGGTTAGTAAGTAGCCAGAGGAACAGACGGCCACAGATGAGGGGTGAGTTCTTCACTCTCCCATCCGTCAGGCCTCCCGATCTGAGCAAAGTTGGCTTCTAGGACTGTGGATACAGGGTGGTCCCGTAACTCCCGAGGTCTTTCAAGAAGCTGAGCCTGGCCCTCCGGGAGCCCATTCAAGGCCTGCAGCTGGAGCTGAGCAGTGGCGGATGAAGGCTCACTGGTGCCCTGAGCACTGACCAGTCTTGGTGCCTCCCCCTTGGTACAGACGGTACAAACGAAGCCATCTTCTCCACTTCGTGGTGGCCCCTATAAGCAGATGCTTCGTCTGCTTCATGGTTAATACCCCGCTGGACCTGAAAAGCCATTAACCGGACAGTGGCTGAGCTTCCTTCAGGCCACCTGGGTACCCCCCGCCACCCTTGGCATAGGAGGCAGAGCAGGAGACGGCAGCAGAGCTCAGGAGAAGACTGAGAGCCCCCAGGTCTACCAGGTGGCCCAGAAGAGGGCCTTTCGGTGGGGAAGCCTGGCCTTGCAGTACCCAGGCAGGGAGCGGCTGCAGGAACCCTCGATCCCAGGTTAGGGCAAATAACCAGTGACCGGAGAGGGCTTGGAAGCGGTTCGTTGATTTGTAAGCACGCCGTGTGCTCTTAAAGGGGAAGACAAATGCTTACAGGTGAGGGAGCCCTTGAGGAAGTTGGCTTCCACGCATTACATTACCTTTTGCTGCTTTCCTTTGTTAGGAACAAACAATAGTCCCTTCAGGAGAAGAGCCCAGTCCTACCTCGGACACACATCCTGGCTTCCTTCTCTGCACAGGGCCGTTTCTTCCAACCCTGGCATTGCTGGTGCTCCTTATTGTGGTGCTGCCTCTGCTCTTGTGAAGCGTCCAGATGATTCTGCTGTTCCGCCCGAGGGAACAAAGAAGGCAGAGCGAAGATGGAGTCCCCGGCTTTTCCTCCTGGCAGGAACACTCCCTTACTGACTGAAGCCCGCTCGCTTCACACATTTAGGATGTTGGCTTAGAGAGCCAAGATGGCTCCCTCTGGAGCAGCCGGTCAAAAGTCCCTGATCCCCTGCAGCTCAATAGCTCAGACTTGACCTCACGCCCTTCCTCCTGGCAGTCATTTGGCTCTTTGGCTGCTCTGGCAGGCGCTTGGCTTCCTTTTCTGAAATCCGTGGGATTGTGAGGGAGGCCGGTTGGCTCTTGGCCTGCTGGGCTCGCTTGACTAAGCTAGCCGTGCTCCTCGGAGGCTGCGCCCGCCCAGCTCCAAGGAAGAAGTCCAGAGCGAAGCTGGATTCAGCCAGAGGCCCTTCCCCCACAGCATGAAATCACAAGGCCAGCAACTTGCCAGGGGCTCCCTTTATTGTGAGAATGCAGTCACACTTTGCAGGCTGTGGTTTTGAAGGATAAACTAGAAGACCAGGTTGTTCGGATGACCATGTTTAACCAAAACTGGCATTTAGTGCATGTCAAGGGGTTGCTCTCTCTCTCTCCTTATTTCAGCCACAACTGACCAGTCTGTTACTTCAGCACATTCAGATCTACTAAAGTGGGTGGTAAATTTGCCCGCACATCCTATGGTGCCCCTTACCTGGCAGGACTTTCTTCAGATGCAACTCACAAGAGCTGGCATTTCTCTGCCCACACTTCCGGAAACGGTGCCTCCCGGGCAGAGGACTTAGTCCCAGGTGCAGCTCAGCTGACGTGCAGCTCCACCTTCTCTCCTCATACCTACCGCCCTGGCACAGAGCCAGGCCCACCTCTGCCCCCCATGCGACCTTAGGGGCAGGGCACCTGGCAAGGAGGAAAGGAGGCTGACAACAGCCCTAGGTGGAGTTTGTGCTACCAGCTGGAGGGAATCTTTGCAGCTGGGGGTTGAGTGGGGGGCTCCGTGGTCCGCCCCCAGCTTCTTTCCCTAGAGAGGGGGACCCCCACCCCACCCCCACCGCCTCCTGAGATCCTACCCCAGATCCCATCCTCACAACCAGGCTGCTGCCTGGGACAAGTGCTGGAGGGGGGAGGCGCTGCTGGGAACCCCAGCTCTGGGCCTGGAGGGCAAGCAGAGGTGGAGGCTCCCCCACGGCCTTCCTTCCCAGGGCGAAGGGCTGCCGGGCATCACCCTTTGCTCTTGACCTTCTGTGCCTTCCCTCCTCCGGGTGCCTGGAATGCCAGCCCTGGCTTGGCAAAAACTGCTCGGCCATCCAGATGCCCTTCCTGGTGGGCAACAGCATTTGCAGAAGAGACTTCAAAGCTCACTACCGGATAGTAGCTAACCAAGGTTAAAACAAACCATGTTTAACATGTCTTTGGGCCTTTCCTGGTCTGGTTGAGCATATTGTGGTAACGTGGCCCATGTGGCTGGGCTATTTGTGGGAGCACTTCTCCCCAGTTGATCTGCTCATCCAGGAATTCCATCTTGCCAAGGAGGCCGCCCCCCCCCCGCCCCGCCCCCCAAGTGAGGCCAGCTCCATCCCTTATTCCCCCGAGATTCCTCAAGACCTGGCTTCGTCATCCAGCCTGAGGCCTTGGGGGTCTGGCCAGATTTTGGGTGCCCTTCGTGTGTGAGCAGGTGAGGTGTGTTTACTGCTCCTTGTGGGATGGGCAGCGCTATCAATTGATAAATAAATGAAAGCATTCAGGCTCTGCAAGAAGTGGCGGCTGCCATTTCCCTGGAGATCACCTTGTCTTTCACTGAGGATCGTCTTTGTATTCATGACTCCATTAAGCCGTTTTATGTGTTCCCTGCAATCTCGTTTTTATTCTGAAAATCACATTTGCCCTCCTCAAAAGCAGCTTTTGCTGCTTGGACTCTGCGGAGCAGAATTATGGCAGGTTTCCCTTTCACGCCCAGGACAAAAAAGGAGTCTTCACAAGCGTTTCAGTGTTCAGGTGTGCAACCTGGCAGGAGAGGTCTCCAGGGCCCAGGGACCCAAAACGGGGAGACGAGGCCCAGCCAGGAGCAGGGAACAGGCAGGGGAGCCTTCTAGCTGCAATTGGGGGGGGGAGCCCAGCGGGAACAAATGGGGGTCCTTACTGCCCCAGAGGGCAGGACAAGAAGCAATGGGTGGAAGCTGCTCAAAGAGAGCTCCAGCTTACAAATCGGGAGGAACTGCGGCCAGTGAGATCCATCAGAGTTGTGCTCCATTCCTGGAGATTTTCAAAAATAGACTGGACAACCCTCCTGCCTTGAACAGAGGTTGGAGTAGAAGACCTCCAAGGTCCCTTCCAGCCCAAGGGTTCTATCTTCTATTCGCTGGGCGGAGGTCTCTGCAGGCCTCCCGCGTGGAGCCAGGTCTGTGTCGCGCTCCTCCGCTCGCCGGCTTCTCTGCCTGGCCGAGGGGGCACCGCCCCGGATAGCCTTTCCGCGACGGGTCCCGCAGGGCCGGGCGAGTGGGTGCCTGGCGGGGCGGCGGACTCGCCGTCGGTCGTGGAGCGGGCAGCCGGTGCTGGAGGCGGCCTCCGGCCCACCCGAGCAGGGTCTCGCCGGCACCGATCTCTCCCCTCCCGCCCCCGCCTGGCTTTTCTCCAGCCTTCCGTGGAACTGCCCGGCTTGCTTGGCGTCAGGGAAAGGCGGGGAGGGCTTGTGGCCAGGAGACCCGGATGCGCCCAACCAGCTTTGTGCGGCGGTTGCAAAGATAAGCTCTCTGTTGCATTTGCGCAGAGAGCGACGAGGGGACGGGATCGCTCAGGCCCAAAGTTTAAGGTCTGTAAACATTAAGGCGCCAGCTCTGTTTGCGCACCTCTGAGTTTCACGTGAAGGGCTTACGAGCCAAGCTTCAACCTTGGTGAGAGTTTGTTTGGTAGCTTCGCCTGGGAATTCCCCTCCCCTCCTGTTTGGCCAATTAAGGAGGTTCCCTAAAATGTAGTCTAAAACTCCATGAGGGTGGGGGGGGGGGGCTCCCCCCCGAGAGACACCCCCACACATGAACTGCCTGAGGCCAGACAGCTCTGCACTCCAACTCGGAGGGGTGGGGGGGTGGGGGAGCTTTGACCTCTGGGTGGACAGCAGAGACTCCTAAACCATCTCGCCAAGGCAGGCAATGCTGGCAAATCCAGCTGGTATTTTACACCCTTGCCCCATGGGCACAGTGCAGCTGCTGCAGGGCGGCCTCACTCTGAATTCCAGCCAGCTGAGCTGAAAACGCCTTAGAAAGAGAGAAAGCCAGGGGGGGCATTTACCGGGGTGCCTGGGAGGGACCGCCTCAATCATCCAGACGCATTCGGCAGCTACAAGCCAGCAGGACTCGAGCTGGGGGTCTTAAAGAAAAGGAGGAACCTTCCACAGAGTGTGTGTGTGTGTGTGTGTGTGTGTGTGTGGCTTTTCTGCCTTGCCTTCGGCCACACCTGTCGTTGAGTCCCTCCTGCTAGAATGGGAGGCCTGCTCAGCTTGCCTTTTAGACCTTTGCGGCTTCGGATGCAGACCATGCCAGTGTGCCAGTGTGCCGGTGCGTTGGCTGGCCTACTAGCATGCTCCGCCTGGGAGTAACGTGGGGATTGGCACCCGTGGCTCTGCTAAGCTCGCTTGCTTGGGCTGTACTTCAGGGCAGGCTATGGGGCTCTCCTCTAAGGGGAGGCGGCTGCTTGGGGAAGATCCAACCCATTGTAGGTTTCGAGTATGGCACATGGGAACCATGGGTGGTTGCTGGATTACTGCAATGACTGGGTGAACTGCCATTGGCTTAAAAAGAGGAAGCAGAAAAGCTGCAGAAAGGGGACGGACTGTGTGGGAAAAAAGACCTCCTGTGGGGAATGTGGCGGAGGCATGCGGGAGCAGCTGCAAGGGGCACCTTTGGCCTTGGCTGATAGGCACCCGGCAGGCTTGTCCCATGAACTGGGCGATGGGCAATGCCGCTTGAAAAGGAAGGGCAGCCTCCGTTCCGTTGCATGTGCTCCGTCTGATCACCCCCAACTCGTAAGCTTTGGAGGCGGCCTTCAGCAGGGAGCTTCTGGGTCTCCAAAGAGGGTGGGTTTCCTCCTGCTGGATCAGGGGAAGGTCCAGCGGCAGGTTTTCCAGGGTGGCCACCCAGATGCTTCTGGTGGTTCATAAATAGACCCAAACACACCTCCTCCTCCATATTCGCCCTGGAGATGAACATAGGAGCCACGGTGGCGCAGTGGTTAGAGTGCAGTACTGCGGGCTCCTTCTGCTGACTGCAGGCTGCCTGCAATTTGGCAGATCAAATCTCACCAGGCTCAAGGTTGATTCAGCCTTCTGTCCTTCCGAGGTGGGTAAAATGAGGACCCAGATTATTGGGGGCAAGATCCTGGCTCTGTACACCGCTTAGTGGGGTCTGTCAAGCTCTGTGAAGCGGTATATGAGTTGAAGTGCTCTTGCTATTTATTCTTCAAGACTGTTCTCTGAGTTTTTTCCATCTTCTTGAAACTCTTGTGGTATTGCAGAAAAAGACAAGGGCATTTAGTGGCAGACCCAGCGGCCCAGGTTATGCAGAAAGAGAGAAGGCCAAGACAGATTTTGCAGGGTCCTCTGAACCAAGAGCTTGGCCAGTTGCCTAGGAAACCCAGGTCCCTTCTAGGTTGTTAAGGCTGTCTGGGAGGTGATTGGCAGTTGGGTTCGCTCTGTGCCCCTCGCATCTTTCGGAGAGGGGTCGTCAGCTCTGGAGCAGGCAGCGGTGTGTCTCCTCCTTCAAGGAGAGGACAATGCTGGGTAACTAACCCTGAACCCCACAGTTCTTGATAACCACCATCCTGTCTCTGACATGGTCCTCCAAACACCAGGACAGGACCAGGACGTTGACCGCATTCCTTGGCCCGGAGCAGACAGATACTCCAGGCCGGTGACTTGCCCACCCACCGGCATCATGTGGATGCTAAAAGGAGAACGGCCGCACGGCCTCTGTCCCCCAGAGCTCAGCTGGTTCAGAAAGACCCCAGGACCCCCTGTGTTGGAGGCTGCTGGGAGGTCAAGGAGGGCCGGGGTGGGCGCCCCATCCACACCCTTCTCCTGCCAGGGGCCACCTGCCCTACAGGCATGGGGTTGATCGGCCTCAGTGCTGCACCCTGAAACCGGAAGGGCTCCCCGCAGCTCACTTTTCCCAGAGCTAAACCCCGTCTCAAGGAGGAAGGGGCGGAGGCAAAAGCCTGATGCCTTTGGAGCTGGCGAGGGCCTTTTGTCTGCAGGGACGTCTCCCTCAGTCCAAGGCCTGGCATTGCCCCCCCCCCCGCCAGGAAACGGGCCCCAGAAGCTGCACCCCGTCTCTGTTTATAGAGGCCGTTAATCACAGCGTCTCCAAGCCCGTGAGCTTCTCCCCCCACCCCCACCCCCATACTAAAGAGAGCCCAGCAGGGGCACCTTTTCATTCCTGTCCTCCTGAGCTTAACTGGTACACTTGTAACAGCTGCCACATAATTTGATCAGGGCTATTTCTGTAGTCCCTGGCCCTAAGCACGCCTCCTCCGCCTCCTCCTCCTCCTCCTCCTCCTCCTCTCCCAGGGGGCCCTGGCTAGAGGACTGATTGGATGCCCAAGTGGCCAAGGCTGCCTCTGGGCACTGGGCCCACTCAAGCTCCTCCAGGTAACCAAGTCAGATCCCCGCTTGGAGCCCATGCCGGTGGCTTTGTTGGAGCCCTGCAGAGGTTCCTTCCGAGGAGGCGCCACGCCCCTTGCAACAGGGCTCTCTTTTCACCCTAATCAAAGGCTCGGTCAGATTCACTCTCTGCCCTGGGGGGCGGAGGGGGAGGGGGAGGGGGAGGGCATTTCTGCAGCGGAAGCCCTGGAGACCCCAGTCAGAGGCTGCCTGTGATGGGTGGTCCCAAGCGCAGGCTGAGCACCGCCAGCTCCTCCCAAAGCCCAGCAGGGCCCAGCCGGTGCCTGTCGTGGCAGGAGCTCCTTCCTTGCTGAGGCAGGGAGCAGCACCGGAGCCTCCAACGCCATCGGAAGGGAGCGGGGAGGATGGTCTCCCTCCTGCCCAGGTCACGTTCGCCATTTCCCTGGGTCAGAAACGGGTCCGGGAGTGACGCCGCCTCCAGTGGTCAGAACCGGCTCTTGCCCTCCTCTTCTGCCTTCAGGGGAAGGGAGCGAATTGCTTTGCCTCTTCTCGCCCACCCACCCCCGTCCCCTCCCCTTGCAGCAAATTGCCTCTGCTAAGATGATCAGGTGCATCTCGTAAGCCGTGCAGTTAATTCTCCCCGTTTGCCTGTGGAAGCTGACCTGGCAATTCCTCACAGCTCGTCTAGCCTTAAACTTCTGGTTGGGTCTTTGGGGCCCCTGCTTTCTCAAAGCGCCCTCCTTACTGGCCCTGATGGTGTTACCGAGTTTGGGTAATCAAACACCTGCCAGAAAACAACCAAGGATTCCTCTGGTTTCCTCCTTGTTCAGAACTCGAGTGGTCTTAGCAGAATGACAGGGTGGGAAGGGACCTCGGAGGTCTTCTAGCCCAACCCCCTGCTCAGGCAGGAGACCCTCTACCACTCCAGACCAGTGTCTGTCCGGTCTCTTCTTAAGGCCGTTCCAGGGATTGATTGTCCCCTCCGCCAGGAAATTCCTCCGTAGTTCCAGGTTGCTTCTCCTGACGTTGTATCTCTTGGGGTGATGACCCGTAGTCTCTCAAAATAAACCCAAACCCAAAACATACATTAAAGTCCGGTAAGGCCTTCAACTTAACTTCACCGTTTTATTAGGCACAGTTTAAAGTCACAAAAGTAAATAATGAGGCAAACAAAAAACCAAAACAAACTGCATTGATGAGAGTCCCAAAGCAAGCCAAGATAATTGTAAAGTCCAGGAAAATAATCGAGAAAAGTCCATGGGAAGAATGCCAGCAAAGATAAGCCTCTTTCACGGTAAACACTAATTGACTCCAGCAATTCTAACTGCGCAGTTGCAAATTTATATGCCTAGCTCCCACCTGCAAGCCACGAGGAGGATCATGGTAATCTCCTCTTGAGTAGAGCTGGCTTTTATCCTCTCCTCCCTGCGTGGCCTAGGATGGAGAGGGGATGGGCCTGGGTCCTCCTCTGACTGCTCAGCCAGCCTCTGCCCTTCCCCAGCCTCCTCCAGCACCTCTGGAGCCAGACTCCCACTCCCTGTTGGCTGTTCCTCCTCTTCCTCCGAGTCAGGCTCCACCAGGGGCAGGACACTCTGTGAGGCTGCCTAAACCAGTCTCTGCTGGCCTCACTTCGCCTCTGATGCTCCTCCTGTTCTGGCCAGCTCCTCAGCCCCTTTCAGCTGCCCCTCCCCTCTCCCTCTTCCCCTGACCCAGCCTGCCTGCACCCCACCTGTTTGGGAGTCACGTGGGGGGGGCACCAAGTTGACCTTCTCTGTTCTCTTGCATGGTTTTCAGGGCTGCTAATCCAAGGGGGGGGGCAGCTCTTTCATTTCCCATCTGAAACTGATCCAAGGGGTGTGCAAATGGGACCCCTCCCCCCCCCCCCCGTGTCTTGGCCTTTGGGGGAACAGGAGAGGCAGGAGGACGGCCCGGGGAAGGGAGGGCTTCCTGGAAGTCCCCAAATGCCATTACAGACGCAAAAACAGAAGGGAGCTTTGGGGAAGGGAGAGTCCCGTCCCTGGGGGAGTTCCCTTCCCCTGCACATCCCAGGGGCTCTTCTTCCGCTGAAGGCAGGTGCCCCCCCCCCGGAATAGCTCTCTGCAGTAGCCAGAGGGGGCTCGCTCGGGCGCCTCCCTTCCTGGAGGGGTCGGAGTGGGCCCTGCTAACCACAGCTGGCCGACACGTTGTATGTATTGTAGCTGAGTATCGAATCAAATTTCTTCGCTAGAGCACGAATGGCAAAGAACTCAGGGAAACGTCTCCGGCCCTCAGTGGGGGGGGCCAGGTGGGGCTCAGCCCCCCGTCCTTCTGTGGAGCTGAGCTGGGGGTTTCATCATAGTGAGTGCGAAATGCCGCTTCCATTTAAATCAAATAAAACAAATGTATCGCGTTGGCCCAGAGGTGGCATTCAGCAGGTTCTGACCAGTTCTGGAGAACCGGTAGCGGAAATTTTGAGTAGTTACATTTGGTGTCCTCCCTGCTTCTTACCAGGAACCTGACCGTGTGGGGGTTGGGGGCTCCACTGACAGCCCCGGGGGGGGAGGGGGGAGGGGGGAGCACCAGCCGCAGACGGACGGACGGGGAGAGCAGCTGAGCCAACGGGGCCCCTCCCGCCCTTCTTCTCTCGGCAGTCATCTACATCTGCGGCCCCCTGGAGATGCTGCACCAAGTCATGCGTCGAGCCCAGTCGGAGGGCCTGACCCAGGGCGACTACGTCTTCTTCTACGTGGACGTCTTTGGGGAGAGCCTGCAAGGGGACGGGCGCCTGGGGGCTGCCAAACCCTGGCAGAGCAAGGAGGGACCGGACCTGCGGGAGGCCTTCCAGGTCAGTCCAGAAGCTGGGGAAGGGAGCCGGCGCCCTGGAGTCCCAGGCATGGGGAGGCCTTGGGGGGAAGGGCCTGGGCCGGGCGGAGGGGAGCCCCACCAACTGCTCTTCTGGAAACCCGGTGCTGGGAGGGGGGCTCCTTGGTGGCCAGGACCAAGCCTCCCCCCCCCCCCCGCCTTGCTCTGCCCTTGGGGTCTCTCCCTGCACCTGGGCCTCCCCTTGCTCAGAGCGGAGGGACTCTTGGCTCTCCGTCCTCCAAGCGGGGGGGGGGGGGGGGGGGGGGGGGGGGCTCGGGGGGGGGGGGGGGGGGGGGGGGGGGGGGCGGGCTGTGCTGTGGGGGAGCAGAGCAGAAGCCCCTGGAGAGCAGCAGCTCCAGACCTTGAGGGCCCTGAAGGCCTCCACCCGGCCAGCCTCTGCTTGCCTCAAAAGGAGTCTGGGGGGGAGGCTGTGATGAAGGGCAGGGTGGCTTCCTTGCCCCTCCCTCTCAGCCACTTCCCAATGCATGACAACAGTCTCCTCTTTCTCCCCCCCCACCCCCCCTTGGTCAAAAGAGGCCCAGGCTTTGCAGAAATGCTCAGGAGGAGCAGATGGGGAGAGGCAGGAGGAGCAGACGGGGGGGGGGGGAGGAGGTGCAAGGCTGATGCCTGAGGCAAGGGGAGCCCTAAGCAGCCCCCAGAGGTTGCCAGGCGAGGGCAGGTGGGAGTCATTTTGCAGCCTGGTGTGAGATTTCCAGACAGCTACATGCAGGAAGCATGGTGTGTGTGTGTGTGTGTGTGTGAGAGAGAGAGAGAGAGAGAGGGAGAGGGATAGAGAGGGAGAGAGAGGGGGGGGTGCCTCAGCTGCAGGGGCACATGGGCTCCCATGTCCCTCAGCCGATGGCCTTTCTTGCAGACGGTGCTGGTGATCACCTATCATGAGCCCCAAACTTTGGAGTACCGAGACTTCCAGAACAAGCTGATCCTGCGGGCTCGGCAGGATTACCAGGTGGAGCTCAGTGGTTCACTGGTAAGCGCCCCCCCCTCCCCCAGCCTTCCCCCTCTTGAGCTCCTAGCTGGGTGAGAGGAGTCCCCCCCCACCACAGGCGAAGCCTCTGCCGGGAAGGGAGGCCGCCTCTTGGCCGTCCACAGCAGCCTCCACGCAGACGTAGAGCCTCCGGCAGGAGGATCCAGGCAGGTGCTGGGCCAGCACAGGCGGCCTTTGCCCAGAGCGGCTGGCCACACGCAGCTCTGCGGGGCAAAAGCCGATGGGAGGGTTCCCAGCCTGCCTGGGGAGGCAGCCCGTGGCTTCCTTCGCCTTTGCTGCTTCGGGAGAAGCCCGCTCTGCCAGCCCCTCTTCGGTGGCTTTGCATTGGGGGAGGGGGTGTCACCCGGTGAGCAGAGGCCAGCTCAGGTCATTCCCGGCCTTCCCGAGCACGGGGGGAGGCCCTGAGACGGTGAGGGGCCCATTTTGAAGAGGCTCCTGGAAACGACCCCTGGCTCCCTTCCCTGGGCTCCTGGGCGAAGCGAGCAGAGGAACTTTGCCAGCTCCTCCCTTGCTGCGTTAAGGCAGCGGCTGTGTCCTTCATCACTTGGGGTGGTGCAGCTGCTTTGAGGGCCTCCCCAAATCCTGGGCCCTGTTTCTGCTGGAGCTGTCACTGCGGGGCCCCGACTGGCCAGGAGCCTGGAAGCCGCTGCAGCAACCCTTGAGAGGACTGGAGTGCTTCAGCGCATCAGGAACATGATGGCACTGACACTCTCCTGCTGTGTGGGGGGCTCCCTCCAGCGAGCACAGGAATCGGGTGCTTCAAATGAGTGCGCACACTCACACACTCACACGGGGGTGTGGAGGGGGGGGAGAATCCCTACTGCAAAGTTGTCTAATCCTGTCCAGCTGAGACCTTTCCAGCCGTTTGTGCCAAATCCCCGCAGCCTCTTTCTCTCCTCCCCCTCCTCCTCCCCCTCCTCCTCCTCCTCCCTCTCCTGTGGATTGGCGAACGTCCTCCTCACCCCCTTGGGTGTGATGTCCTGTGCTCTGCTCAGTGGGAGCCCCACGGGTTGTGTGTTATGGCCGCCCCAAGTGACACTTGAGAGCTGGTCCAGTCAGACCTCCCCCACCCATGAAAGCCCAGAGAAGTGACGGGGCCCTTCCCCACCTGAGGTGCCCCATGGTGGAGTGCCAGAGGGGGAGCCAGAGAGTTTCACCGGCCTCTTTGAGGGGACACTCAACTGGGGAGGGAAGCCCTGCAGGTGGGCTGGCAGGGTCTTTCTTGGCCTCCTCGGCCTCTGCTTGCAGCGAGCTTTGCAGGGGGCACCCACAAGTTCCGGGCTGCCTAGAGGAGAGAGGCTACAGGGGGTTCCCTGAGGGGCCCCTACAGCCAGCCAAGGCCAACTCTGGGGGGGCCTGGGAGGGGAGAGAGCCAGTACCCTGAGGGGCCGGGCAGAAGGGGGGACTGTATGTGTGTCTCCCCAGTTGAGGTCAGGGGTCTCCGCCCAAACCCCTGCCCGGCAATGGCACAGGAATTTCTAGCTACCACCAGCCATGCTGATAAAAGAGGCCCTCGGCTCCCCTGGCTCAGAGCAGGGCTGTGTGCGGGTTCTGCTCTGGGGGCACCTGGAGCTGCCCCGCCTGGGTTGGCCTGGAGTGGGGGAGGGAGGGAGGTCCCACCGGGTCTCTCAGTACTGGGGAGGGGGTGTTTTCATACATTCCCCTTCTGCAGAGTGTGAGTAATTAACCTTTTCCTTGGGGGGGGGGAGCAGCCGGGCCCCCTTTCACCAGGCTGTGGAAGTGACTCTGGGTGCAGACAGGAAACAACGGCCGTCTCCCACCCACATCCTGCCCCCTCCCCATGGGGCTGCTCCTATTTTTAGGCTCCCCTCCCCACTTTCTGTGCAGTTTCCCAGGAATCTGCAGGCAGGCAGGGAAAGGCATTGGGGGGGGGGGGCTGCATTCACACCTCTCCCTTCCTTGTTCACTGAGCAATGGCTGTTTCCTGATTGGCTGTTCAACTGCTGGCCAGTCCGCTGGCTGAACAGCCGGGCCTGCTCATTCGGGGGCCCCCAAGCGCAGAGGAGTCTCCAGGACGGGCTGGTGGCATTCGGTCCCCTGAGGGCCCACAGCAGTGGAGCCCCCCCTTGCCCTGCCGCCTTCCGGCCCTTCTGCAGTGGGAGCCTCGAAGGGCCCGGTGTCCGTTCAGCCGAGCTTGGCTGGGGAGGGCCGTGGGGCACGGGAAGGCAGCAGGCCGTCAAAGACTCTTGGCGCTCTGGGCTGCCGGCAAAAGCGGTGCTCTCCACCCGGAGCTGCTCCTGGTCTCCTCTGGGGCAGCAGAAATTTTGTTCCCCTTTCCTGAAACAGACACGCTCCTGTTTTCTGCCTTTAAATAAGAGTAAAAGCCTCCCTAGCTGTAGCCTCTGGCTCCAAGGGCTGCAGTCACCGGCTCATCCTGACTGCAGGGGTGCCGTGGAGGAGGGGCCCTCCGCCCGGGGTGCAAGTGGGCCCCTCTGCATCTGAGCAGAGAAGAGCTCCTGTGTCCTGGACACCTTTGCTTGTGGCAGATGGGAACCGCAGGAAATTTGGGCCACCCGAAGTCACCCCATAACTGACGCCAGGTTAAATTGACGGGGCCACGCCCTATTCCTGGACAAGGGGTCCTCCCGAGGGTGGGCCCTTCGACTGCTTGGCTTTCCTGCTAGGGGAGGTGCCCTGGAGGGCACCGAGCAACGCCTCTGCCTCCCTCTCTGGCTCCCCCCAACAGAAAAACCTGGTGGCCGGCTGCTTCCACGATGGACTGCTCCTCTACGCCCTGGCCCTGAACGAGACCCTCCACAAGGGCGACACCAAGCTCAACAACAGCCGCATCCTGGAAAAGATGAAGGGGCGCAGGTTCCAGGGTACGGGGGCTGCAAGAAGGGGGTTTCCCAGACCTAGAAGCAATGGGGGGGCAGGGGGGGGGCTGGAATGACTGGAGAGGAGATCTGGGGCCTCGACTGGAGGAGGACGGGGGGGCGGGATTGGAAGGGCAGAGCTCCATCGACAAGGGTCACAGTGCTCTTAGGGGCCTGATCCAAATGCCAGGGCGCTTTTGTTCATCCAGGGGTCACTGGGACCGTGAGCATGGATCAGAACAATGACCGCGACACAGACTTCAACCTGTGGGCCATGAAGGAGGGGGAGAGTGGCACATACCAGGTAAGCTGGAGCCCCTCAGCAGCCCCTAAACCCAGCCCACCCGCATGCCAGTCCTCCCCGGCCAGGAGACACCGGCCTTCTTTCTCCTGGAGGGACAAAGTCTGGGGCAGTCAGGGCCCCCCCCCGCATTCTCCTGGCCATTGGTGGGCAGGCGGAGGAACAATGGCAGCGGCTGGCCAGGTGAGCCAACAGCCTTCCGCCCACAGGTAGTTGGACACTACGTGGGATCCGAGAAGCAGCTGAAGTGGCTGGGGCCTATCCACTGGCTCAAGGGGCAGCCGCCTCTGGATAACCCCCCCTGTTTTGACATGGATGACCCCTCCTGCGACAAAAGTGGGTGCCTGCTGCCCAAAGAAAGCGGGGGAGGGGTGGGATTACCTTCACCCTGGGAGAATCCCTGAGCCCATTTTCCCCGCCCTCCTCTGAATGGCCTGCCTGCTGTGGGCAGCTGGGTCTCTCCTTCCAGTGGACGTATGACCCCGCCCCCCCCGGCTCCCTCCGCAGAAAGACCCACCCGGGACACCCAGCTGCCTGCCGGTGCTTCTCAGGGGGGGGGGGGGCTGAGCCCTTGCCTGATCTGTGGTGTCCTTGCAGGTGCACTCAGCACCCTGGCGATCCTGGCGCTGGGAGCCGGACTCACCTTCATCATGTTTGGGGTTTCCAGCTTCCTGATCTTCAGGTGCCTGAGCAAACTCTTGGGGGGCCTGGAATACAGCGGGCGAGAAGGGGGGGTACCCTGGCCAGACAGGCAGTGTGCAGCCCGGGAGGAAGAGGGCCATGGCTGCAGTGGCCACCCCTGTGATGCGTGGTCAGGGCCAGGCTGGGCTTAGCCAGGTGTTTCCTCCTCAGCCTTTGGAGGACGCTGGGCTGCATGGAAGGGCCACCTCCATGAGGTCCAAATGTTCACACCGTGGCATAAACCAGAGCAAGGTCTGGCGGGCCGCGTTCACATGTGCCAGGCTGCTTGGGGTGAGCTGGCTGGCCCTTTGAGGCCTTGGCTGGCCTTTGGCCTGGGGTGTGGCAGGTGCCAGAGCAGCTTCTGGCTCTTGCGCTGCAGACTCAGCCCCGGATCCAGTTGCAGGGCATTGGGGGGGGGAGGGGCGTGAGCCATGGGGCCATGGCTGGGTCAGGGAGCTCAGGAGCCATTGTGGGTCTTGACAGGAAGCTGATGTTGGAGAAGGAGCTGGCCAGCATGCTGTGGCGGATACGCTGGGAGGACCTGCAGTTTGGGGGCTCGGAGCGCTACCACAAGGGGGCAGGCAGCCGACTCACCCTCTCACTGGTAGGTACTATGGGGCGCTCACGGAGGGTCCCTCCAAGGCCCAGCCCCCCACCTGTTCCCCAGCCCCTCGGCTTTGAGGGGGCCCTTTCCCCCTCCTGCTGACTCGGCCTCAGTTGGCTGTGACTCTCGGCCTCGGCTTCTCTCCAGCGTGGCTCCAGTTATGGCTCCCTCATGACGGCCCACGGCAAGTACCAGATCTTTGCCAACACAGGACTCTTCAAGGTGAGCCCCACCGTCCCCGTTTCCAGCCCCAGCCGTACTGGAGGCTACGCCAGCTCACCCCCCCCCCGCTTGTCTCTTGCCCTCCAGGGAAACGTGGTGGCCATCAAACACATCAATAAGAAGCGGATTGAGCTGACGAGGCAGGTGCTCTTTGAGCTCAAGCACGTACGTACTGGGGGGGAGGGGCAACTACTCTGGGGGTCTCCTGGGGGCGGCAGCCTCTGCTGCAGGGAAGAAGATGCTGGCAGTGGCCCCCCACTCCACCGGGCCATGCTTGCTGCCCCACAGATGCGGGATATCCAGTTCAACCACCTGACCCGGTTCATCGGGGCCTGCATTGACCCCCCCAACATCTGCATCGTGACCGAGTACTGTCCGCGTGGCAGTCTGCAGGTGAGGCGGCTGTCCAGGGCAGGTGAGGGGGGAGGCAGGGCTCCCCCTACTGGGCTGTGGCCAAAGCTGACCTCTACCCCCCTCGGCCTGCCAGGACATCCTGGAGAACGAGAGCATCAACCTGGACTGGATGTTCCGCTACGCCCTCATCAATGACATCGTCAAAGTGAGGAAAGGGGCTTCTGGCATTTGAGAGAGGGGAGTGGGGGCTCAGCCTCAAGGGGCCTCTCTCCCTCCCGCCCCACACAGGGCATGACCTTCCTGCACAACAGCATCATTGGCTACCACGGTAGCCTCAAGTCCTGCAACTGCGTGGTGGACAGCCGCTTCGTGCTCAAGATCACGGATTATGGCCTGGCCAGCTTCCGCCAGGGCCACGAGAGCGAGGGCAACCACGCGCTCTACGCCAGTGAGTGCCCGGCCAGCCCCTCCTGCCTGTCACCTGGGGAAGCCCGAGCCCCGCACCCCCTGACCCAGACTCTCTGGCTCCTGCTCCAGAGAAGCTGTGGACAGCCCCCGAGCTGCTGCAGAAGGGGACGCTGCTCCCGCTGCCCCTGGCCATGCAGAAGGCGGACGTCTACAGCTTTGGGATCATCCTGCAGGAGATAGCGCTGCGCAGCGGCGCCTTCTACGTGGAGGGCCTAGAGCTCAGTCCCAAGGGTGAGGAGGGGCCGGGGGTAAGAGCGGAAGCCCAAAGGCCAGCCCTGCCTGCCTCCAGCTTGCGCTGACCAGGAAGTGGGATGCTGGTTTACGCCTCCTGCCTCAGCCTGGAGAACCAGGAAAGCAGCGAAGGCAGCCTGTCCCTCCCTCCCTCCCTCCCGCCATGCCCTGCCGTCTTGCAGCCAGGGAGTCCTCCGGCCTGGATGGGTTCATCATGGGGCCAGCCGTCTGAGCAGTGCTGTAGAAGAGGCAGGGAAGTAATGTCTGAATGCAAGATGGGGGGGGGTTCCACACCAGAGAATGGTAGAAGTGGGGCTGCTGCTGGCTGTGCCCTTGGCTGGGTTCTATTTGTGACCACGCTGGTTTGACCTGTGACCTCTGTCTTTCCAGTCCCCCCTCCGTCCTCATCCACCCCACCCCCACCCCCAGGATTGCCATGTTCACTTCTCTCTTCTCATTGTCCTAGCAGCTGGTCACCCCCCTCCCCCCACGCGTCAGCTGTGCCTCCATCCCATCACCCCCACATTCACTCCTGTGCATCCCGCCCTACTCCTCCCCCCCAGAGATTGTGCAGAAGGTGGCCAACGGCCAGCTGCCCTACTTCCGGCCCACCATCGACACCCGCCTGCACAGCGAGGAGCTGGCTGTGCTGATGGAGCGGTGCTGGGCTCAGCAGCCGGCCGAGCGCCCAGATTTCGCCCAGATTAAAGTCTTCATCCGGCGGTTCAACAGGTAAGGAGGTCTCCTCCTCCCACCTTAGGTGTGCGTGTATGCGCGCGCGCGCGTGTGCACAAGAAGCCTGCTTCAGCTTCTGACCCCCCAGGCAGGGAAGTGCAGAAGGGGCTCCTCCCCACACAGCCCCGCAAGGCGCCTGCTTGCAACCCTCCCAAGGTTGTTTTCCCCTGGGATGCAGGTGTACCTCGAGGATGTTCCAGTTGGCCCTGGAGAGACTCTCCCTCTTCTCCTACTGAACGTGGACTAAGGGTCCCCACAGGGAGGCCCCGCAAGACTTTCTGCTGGATCCCTGAGATGGAGACAATGGGATGGGGGTCCCCAGAACAGGCCCCAGGCCCCAAATCTAGCCAGCTTGGCTTTCTCAGGCACTTCTGTGGCTCGGCTGACAGATAGCTCCCTCCCCAAAGAGGCAGGTGGCCTCTCCGCCCACCCGCCCACGGGAGAAGTCAGGGGCTGGCTGAGGCTCCCCAGCAGGGCCGCAGCTCCCGTCGTCTGGGGGCACCGTCTCCCGCCTATAGCAGGGTTGCCTCTCATCCAAAGGCTTCCGGGGGGAGGAATGTAATGGCATAGCGCCCGCCATGCCCAGTCCTGTCACCCTTTCCTTCCCCTCACCCTGCCTGCACCACCATGGACGTCCACCCTCCTCCTGTGCCTCAGGGAAGGAAGTACCAGCATCCTGGACAACCTGTTGTCGCGCATGGAGCAGTACGCCAACAACCTGGAGAAACTGGTGGAAGAGCGCACGCAGGCCTACCTGGAGGAGAAGCGCAAGGCAGAGAATCTGCTCTACCAGATCCTGCCCCAGTGAGTCCAGCTTCCGCCGGCCTCCCGCCGGGGCTCCGGGCCTGCGACACTCTCCTGCTTGGAAGTTCAGCAGCTCCTGTCTTTTCTACCCCTCAGTTCGGTGGCTGAGCAGCTGAAGCGGGGTGAGACGGTGCAGGCTGAAGCCTTCGACTGTGTCACCATCTACTTCAGTGACATTGTAGGGTTCACCTCCTTGTCAGCAGAGAGCACCCCCATGCAGGTAGGCTGCAGCGTGGGTGGGCGGGCTAATCCCTTGCATGCCTGAAATGGATGCAGCTGACTCTGGTCCTCTTTGGTTTGGGCTTGGGAAAGTCTCCCCCCCCCGCCCCCCCACTGGCTGGGGCAGGTCCAAGGACAGAGTCCCACTAGACAGTTTCCCCTCTGGCTCCCCCGCTTAAGGGCTGGGGTGTGGTTTGTTTTCCTCACCCAGTGGAGACGTGGAGCCCTGAACGTGGCGCTGCCACCAATAAATATGGCTGGCGCATGGCAGAAGGCAGATACTTATGTAGCTACCAATTCATGGAAGAAGCGGAAGGGCCTATTTGCAGAAATGGTGAACCTATGGGATGTGTGTCATAGGCGATACACCATGCCATGTTCGGTGACACTCTGGAAGTTGAGCGTCCTCTGAGGGGCCTGGGAATATAGTCCAGAGGGGAGGGGAGGAGAGGAGAGGGGAGGTCTGAAGAGGCCTCTCTTGAGCAGAGGGCGGCGGTGAGTTAGATGCCACAGAATCAAGGTGGACATTTTCTGAATTTTTGACATTCTGAACCCAAAAGGTTCACTGTTACTGGTCTATGGCTATAACCGTAGCCCATAGAGCTCAGCGTCTGTGCTCTCGCAAAACCCCTTGGGGTTTGGGCTGCCTGTGAATCCAGCTGCTTCTTTCAAGTCCTCTCGGGGATCCCTGCTTCGGTGGAACAGATTACACAAACACAGCAATCGGGTTTCCGTGCTGGCTTAGCAGGTTGTGTGAACGCAGCTACTGGGAAGCAGAGGGAAGGCCAAGAGGGCTATTAATCCCACTCGTCCCTTCTGCAGGGCCTGGGCCACTGGGGCTCCCTTGTGGTCCTTCTCTATCAACTTTTCTAATTGGTCTCGTCTCACTTTCCCCAAAATGTCGATCCCTCTGCCCGGGGAATCTGCAGGAACTGCCATGCCTGAGGGTCACAGCCTCGCCTGGTCTTGGCCCTGGACAGCCACCTGCCCTTGCTACATTAGGCTCCCTTCACCTGCCCAGGCAGCTCCCCTGTCTCTCTCTCTGCCCCCCCCCAGGTGGTGACACTCCTCAATGATCTCTACACTTGCTTCGATGCCATCATTGACAATTTCGATGTCTACAAGGTGAGCCTTGTGGGGCTGGGCTGGGGCCCCTTCCTGGCTGATCCCAGGCTCACAGCAGCACTGCAGGGAGTCATCGCCCCCCCGCCTCACCCTGCTTCTGGACCCTGGCCGTAGGTGGAGACCATTGGTGATGCCTACATGGTGGTGTCCGGCCTGCCTGTCCGAAATGGCAAGCTCCACGCCCACGAGATCGTCCGCATGGCCCTGGCACTCCTGGAGGCTGTGAAGACCTTCCACATCCGGCACCGGCCCAGTGAGCAGCTGTGTCTGCGCATCGGGGTCCACTCCGGTGAGTCCCTCATCTGGGCGAGGGTGGCCCACCTCACCTGAGCATGCGCAGAGCACCAGCAGTTCAGCCGCCCCCCACTGCCTCCCTGCAGGGCCGGTGTGTGCAGGAGTGGTGGGCCTCAAGATGCCACGCTACTGCCTCTTTGGGGACACGGTCAACACGGCCTCACGCATGGAGTCCAATGGCGAGGGTGAGACCCCCCTCCCCGCCCTCTTTCCAGCCCCCCCACCCCCAGCTTCCTTGTGAATTTCCTTTCCCCTTCAGCAGATGCTCCGGTGGGATGCAGCTCAGCCCCACCCCATTCCCCCGAGGCCTTGCTGCTTCTCCTCCTTGAGGGCAAGAGGGGTCCCAACAGGGCAGTTCAGGCTTCCCTAGTTTAGGCTAATCCACTTTATTGCGGTCCTCCGTCATGCTGCGGACCCCGAGACTCGGCTGGGCCATCTGGCAGGGGATCCTGGAGGGCATTCACTCCCCTGCCCGCTTCCTTCCAGCCTTAAAGATCCACATTTCTGCTGCCACCAAGGAGATCCTGGACGAGTTTGGCTGCTTTCTGCTGGAGCTCCGGGGGGATGTGGAGATGAAGGTGGGTGTGGGAAGGGGCAGGCCGGCCCCGCCCTTCCATGCCCCAGGGGGTGGGCTGCATTGCAAGAAAGGGGGAGAGCGCCCCTCACGCACACATCTGCTGCTTCCCGGCAGGGCAAAGGGAAGATGAGGACCTACTGGCTGCTGGGCGAAGAGAAGGCGGCCGTCATCTGAGGGCGGCCCTCCCTCTGCGGGGAATGGGCAGGAGCAGCTGCTCCCATGAACTCGTGGTGGATTTGCTCTGCCTTGGAGCACGGAGGGGGGGCGACAGTGGCCAGCCTGCAGGGAAGGATGGCTTCGCGCCTGGAGAGGCGGTGGCTGTGCCCGGAGCAGGCGGGGGGGAGGGGGGGCTGTCGCTGTCCCAGACACCAAGGGGTCTTCCCTGCCCAGCCAGGCAGCAGGAACCCACCTGCCGACCAGCTGGGGCTCCGGGCCCCATTCGATGCCCCTCCCCCGGCTCAGCTGGCTGAGCCAGCCCTGCTGCTCATTTTCCCCTTTGGCGGCACATGCAGGAACCAGGCAAGCAGTTTGGGCCGAACAGAAAGAGGGAGGGGAGAACATCCCCCTCTTCCCTTTAGCAAGAGAAAGGACAGGGAAGGGCCTGTCCAGCCCCCACTGCTTCTGAGGTGGGAGAACCACAAGGAAGCTGCCTGGAAGCCCCTCTCCGGCTCTTGCAGGAATTTAACTGGGGTGATCAACCCTTTGAGGAAGGGTCTCTGCACCCCCCTCCACCCACATAAGCTCGGGGTTTCCCCACTGGCCCAGGGGGTGGCAAGGACGTCTTCAAGGCCGGGGGACGTTTTTTGGGCCGTACAGCTACGGCTGGTCGAGGCATTCCGAGATGGGGGTGGTGAACATTGCGCACTTCCTGAAAGGGGTGTCGCCCGTCCGGATGCTGGAGGTGCCCTGTGGAGAGGGACAAAGAGGCTGAAGAGCAGGCGGAGGGGGCGGGGGGGGGGCGGAGCTGCCTTCCTGGCATGCGTCACCCGCCCTCGTGGCCAGAACATACCCTCCATGCTAGAACACCAGGTGCCTGGGCTGCCTGCCCACCTGCCCCGTCCTTTGCAGCCTCTCAAGGACGCGCCTCACGGGAGGGGGCACTAAAGGCATGGCAACTCACCGGCACCTGCTGGGCATGTTCAAGCCAGAACGTCTGTGGTTGTTCCAGCCGGTAGTTGTGGGGCTGCAAGAGGAGAGGACGTCAGGGGAGCTACCGGGGCGTCTCCAGGAGGGGAGCGGAGGGGTGGGGAGCCTGACTGCTACTCTGGCCCGCAGAGCCCCTTACCTGGGTGGGGGGCAGGGGCTCAGAGTGGAAGCCCTCCTGCCTGTAGTCCCGGTGGGTGATGGAGAGGGACTCCATGGGCTCGGACGGAGGGGATGCGTCGCGTGCCAGGAGGTTCGTGCTGCAAACCAACAGCCACAACAGCAGCTGAGCCTGGAGCTGCCCTGGCAGGAGGGCTGGGCACAGGCAGCTCAGGGCCCAGAGCGCTTCCATTGCCAAGCCATGCGTGGGACCTTCCGCACCGTCAGTGGCACTGAACCCAGCATTGCTCATCAGCAGTTGGGGGAAGGCAGGCTGGTGGGGTCAGCGCAGCCCCCAGCCCCATAGACACCTCATCCTGGAAAGATTTTCTACGTTCGTTTTCTAGACAGAGGGGTGAGGATCCTTTTTCAAGTTGTCCAAGTGTTTTATGAATAAAAGAGAACAACACCCTGCGCAGCTATTTCATTGGTCTCCCAAATGAAACGGCCACAGGCACCGCCGGAGTGTTTCTTGCAGGACTTCTGGGTGCCAATCTCAAAGGCTGCCCCTCTTGCCAGGCAAAAGGTTGGGAGCCGCACTGCAAATCGTTATCAGTCTGTTTGTCCAGGTTCTAACTTGGCTGCCCAGCTGAGAGCCGGGAACTCCCCGGGCACAGGGGGGAAAGGGTGTGGAAAGAGCTGGCACAGCCCTCGCCGCTTCGTACTATGAGGATAGAAGGGCAAGGAAAGTCCTGGGAGCAGCAGCAGCAGCAGCACTGAAGGCAGCTTCTGCCGGGCCCAAGATCCCCCCCCCCTGGGGGGGGGTCTGTCACTGGTGGCTAAACAGGCCCTGCCTGTGAATCAGTTGTCCGCAGGGAGGGCTGCAGTGGGGAGCCTCCAGTGCTGCTAGTGCAAATGAGGAGGGGGAGCGCAGTCTGGACTTCGGATGCCTCCCTGTGGCTCCCGGAGGCCCTGGCACGTGTGCTGGCCACTGTGGACTTCTGCAGCCTCCGGCCTGCTGGGCTTGTTTCAACCCAAGGAAACCCTGAGGGAGGGGGAGGGGGAGAGGGGGAGACAGCCCACCTCTCTTTCCTCAGCCGTTCTGTGAAAGTGCGCAGGCCTGCTGCTGCCGCTTGCCTGGGAGGTGGCACGCTCTACCTTGGGCCACTGTGCTGCTGCCGCCACTCTCTGCCCCCTCACCAACTTTCGCTCTCCCATGCCCGAGATTCCCCCCCCCCTCCCCGGGTCCTTCTTCCCTGGTTCCCTTTCCTTTTGCAGCTTCCAGGGTTAGGCCGCATGGCCTCCCACCAGTCCTTGGGCAGGACAGGAGGCAGCAGCCTTCCACGGTTGGTGCTGTTGCTCGGCTCCTTGGCCAAAGGCCCTTGGAAGACCTCGGCTCTTCCCTCCTGCAAGGGAAGAAATGCCAGAGGAGTCCCGCCCTCTGGTTCCAGTCCTGGCACCTGCCCACTCGCTCCTAAGCTTCCCCTTTGGGAGGCTGTCTGAAGATACAGTGGAGGAGGACTCCCACACCGGTTCTTAAACTCTGGCCCATCCACTTGACACAGAAGGATGGTGCTCAGAGTGACCGAGATGGAGACCGCCTTGCCTTCTGAAGCTCTGTGGCCTTGGATACCCCCAGGGCAGAGTGGGATTCAGCCGGTTCTGACCAGTTCTGGAGAACCCGTAGTGGAAATTTTGCGTTGTTTGGAGAACCGGCCAATACGGCCTCTGACTGGCCTTGCCAACCCCACCTCTTCTCTGCCTCCCATCGAGTCCCAGCTGATCGGCTGGCTCTCCTTGGGTTGCCCTGCCCAGGAGAAGGGAGCTGGAAAGCAGGCTAGTGGGCTGGGGAGGGAAGGGGGATTTGGCAGTATATCCTCCCCCTGCCATGCCCACCAAGCCAGGCCCACAGGACTGGTGGTAAAAAAATTTTGAACCCAACACTGCCCCAGTGTCTCCTGCCTTTGGGTCGCTGAGCAAGTTCACAGTCCAGACCAGTTGGAGGAAAGAGGCCGCCGCCCTTTAACCTTGACAGGCCCACAACAATGCCTGGGGGTGGGGGGTGCGGAGAAGGTCCTGCTGCTGCTCACCTGTGTTTCTGGTACAGGAGATGCTCCATCATGGCCTCCCGTTTCCCTGGGGGGGGAAAAGGAGGAGACAAGTGGGGCGGGGGGCATCCACAGAGAGGCTGCAGAAGAGCCTTGCCCAGGAAGGGAGGCTGGAAGGCGGGCCTGGGGCCTTACGCGTGGAGGGAGAGGGGGGAAAGCCATCCCCGCCAGCACCTGGTGCCCTGAACTGAGCCAGGCCCTATGCCGATGCCAGCCGCCTTGGGGACCTTGCACAGCCCATTCTAAGGGGGCTCCTGTCTGTTCAAAAACAGGAACGCCCCCCAGCCCCCACTACCACCCCCACCACCCCCCCGAGTCCGGAAGGATCTGCCGCCAGGGGCCTCCCAGGCCGACTGCAGCTGCCGGCTTCAGCCCTGGAGACCCTCTGGCTGCAGGGCGGCTGATCCACAGGCCAGCTGATCCTCAGGATTCTCAACTGAGCCACGTGGGCCTCCCCAACCCCCCGAACTGTGGAGGCCGGGCAGGATCCGTTCCAGCTTTGGGACCCCGAAGGCCTCCTAGCAGCTGCAGCCCCCGAAGGAGTCAGACCGAAGGCAAACTCTCCCACTCAGAGGAGGAGAGCAGCGCATCACAGGCCGCAACTTGTCCCTCTACACTTTTACAGTACAGGAAGTCCTCGACTTCTGACCATCCTCAGAACAGGAAAACCCATCCTTTTAAGAGAGACGTCGCAACCTCCCCTTCCGGCTTTCCCAACGGCCGTGCCGGGGGAAGCAGCCACGGACCCCAAGGACACCTCAACCCTTCCAAGCGTCAGCACCAGCGGTCAGTCACTTTTTAAAGGGCTATTGTAACTTTGAACAGTCATTAAACAAATGGTTGTAAGTTGAGCACTGCCTGTCATTTCAAAAATAAACCCTAGATGCTTTAGAGGGGGGCAGGGGGGGCGGATAGAAGCCAAACGGTCTTTTTGAAGTATCTTGGGAAGGAATTGCTGTCCATCAAAAAAGCTGCCCAGGGGGCTGTCCTAACGGGGTTTTTTTTGGTTTTCTCTTGAGGACTTTTGGCTTCTCATCCAAGGAGCTTCTTCGCTTCTGACTGAATGGTGGAGCACCGAAGGATTGTTGTTCCTTGCAGTCATCTGGTCGTTGGCCCTCTTTCTGAGAGTGTGAGGCCACTTGGAGGTTATCTGTGTCTCCCAAGGCGCCTCAGTGACTCTCAGAAAGAGGGCCAACAACCAGATGACTGCAAGGAACATGAATCAGTCCGTGCTCCACCATTCAGTCAGAAGTGAAGAAGCTCCTGGGATGAGAAGCCAGAAGTCCTCAAGGGAAACCCAAGGAAGTCCAGTTGCCTTTTAAAAAGCCCCATTGGGACCTGATGGGTGAATATCCGTGGACGGGCTGAGGGGGCTGTTTGGGGGAAAAGGCCAAGAAGCGGGCGGGGTCGCAGTTGCACATCAGGGCTGCCTGTTTGCTGATCCAAAGCCAGAGCAAGGAAGGTCCTGCCTGGCGGCCCAAAGGGAGCAGCTGAACTCCCCAACGCCTGCTGGGATTGCGGAGTTTGGTTCCAGCTGCTAAGGACAGCGGACCGGGGGGGGGGGGGGGGGGGGGGGGGGGGGGGGGGGGCAGCCTGGCTTTCTAGCGTGAGTGGGAAATGAGGGGCCTTCCCAGGTGGGGAGAATGAAGCTAATCCTCCGCAGGAGCATTGCAGCCACCGGGAGAGAAGCCCTTTCGCTCCCGGCACAGATGTGGTTCCTCCACTCCAGGCCTCTGGAGCCTCTCCTGGACACACACACACCCCGCTGCCCACCTCGCACAGGGAGCCCCGTCTTCACGGGCCGAGGGAAGGAGTCCTTCATCGTGGTGGTCGTGGGTGTGCCGGCCAGGAAGTCAAGGGTGAGGAGGCCAGGATGCCCGAACCGGTGGAAAAACCCCTCGCTGCCATACTCGGGTCTTGGCACGCGGTCCAGACAGTTGGTGGCTCTCTGGGAGAAACAAAATTCAAAACAAAGGATGCGTCTCTCCCTCAGGGCCACCCCCCCCCCCCAGCCAGTTTGGTCCTACCTGCCCTCTGGCTCGGCAGGGCAGGAGGGGAGGGGCTGCCCTGAAGCCCCTGGGGAGGCCGGGCTCCTCTCACACGGGACGCCAGGCGGGCTCTGCGCTGGGGACCGCCTGCTAAGTTAGGGCGGCAGGGTCCGGCCGCTGCCCTGACCTCCCACGGCCAGAGCGGCGGCGGAGCCCAGCAGGCAGCCTCACCTCTTCCTGCCAGTTGTGCATCAGGCACTGGCCGCGGACGGGCGGCTCCCTCGGGGGCTCCGAGACGCAGGGCGGGCGCGGCTGCAGATCGGTGGCCGGCAGCTCCCCCAGGTACGGTCCGGGCACGCCGTGGCAGGGCGGCAGCTCCAGCGGGTGCGTGGCTGCGGCCTGCAGCTCTGCCTCGGGGTCCGGCGGCGTCTCCGCATTGGCCGTCTCCGCCGGGATCCCGCGGGGCTCCTCCGCGCTGGTCGGGGCGGCGGCGACCTCTCCGCGGCTCGGCGGCGGGGCTCTGGCCGGGGAAGAGACGGGAGAGCGCCGGGTCACGGGCGGGCGGGCGGGCGGGCGCTGGCAAGCGGGCAAGGCTGCTCCGGCCACCCACCCCCCGCCCTGCACGGAGGCGCCCCGTCCCGACGCCAAAGGCCGCCTGCGGGCAGGGCCGCGGGCGGGGAGGCGAGGTCGCGCTGCGACTCACCGGTCCGGCTCCATCGCGGCCCCGCGCTTGGCTGGTCTCCACGGAGACGCGGAACCCGGGAGGCGGGCGGGCCCGGGAGGCGGGCGGGCGGGTGCCCGGCGCGACCGTTGGCTGGCCGAGCGCGAGGAGGAGGGTCCGTTCTCCACCCTGCCTCCCCCGGCCGGCGCAGGCGGGCGGGCGGGCAGGGCAGCGACCCAGGACGCAGCTCCCTGCCGTGCCCGGGCCAAGGCTGCCGGGAGAGTCCCCGAAGGAGGCGAGATCCCAGGGGCCTCCCCTGGCTAGGCTGGCCAAGCGGGTGGCTGCTTAGGTGGGGTCTTGCATACCCTGGTCTTCAGTAAAGTCTGTAAGGATGCGGTCAAAAAAGTCAACATGGCGGTTGCGACAGTGCAATTAAAATCCGTACGAGTCAGGATTCCGGCCTGGATTGGGACAGAAACGGCATTGGTGGCACTTTTGGATGATCTCTGGCAGGAGTGGGATGGGGGTAGAGCATCCATCCTTGCTCTAATTGACCTCTCGGCAGTTTTTGATACCACTGACCATGGGAGTCTCCTGGGGCAGCTTCGGGGGATGGGCGGCCTTGTGCTGTCTTGGTTCACTTCCTGCCTCTGCAGCTGCTTTCAGTCAGTGTTGATAGGAGAGGAGAGATCCAGCCCTCGCCCACTGCTTTACGGG